CCCCAAAACCCCAAAACCCCAAAACCCCAAAACCCCGAATTAATTTTATTTACTGAAATCCAAAATGTCATTTGCAGTTTCAGGAACGATAGTGAAGATTATGAACCATGTCTTAGGCAGCTTCATCGAGAATATTGACAGCAATCAGTTCAGCCTAAGCGTGTTCAAAGGGAATGTAGAGTTGAAGGACATTTCGATCAAACCAAGTGTTTTTGATAGCATACCTATTCCCTTCAAGTTAAAATATGGCAAGGTAGGGCATATCAATGTTGATGTGCCAGTCATGTCCTTGTTTAGCAGTCCACTAAAGATCTCAATTCAAGACGTATTTGTCCTGATAAACCCTATGAATGAGCAAACTGAGTGGAATGAGAAGAAAGAAATCGAGTGCTTTATTAATGCAGTTCAGAGCCGTTTAGAGCATCTTGAAGAGTATCTTGACTCAAAATTGGAAGTTGAAAGCAATGATCCAGGAATGATCAATAAAATGTTATCTAATATCATCGATAACGTCCAGGTTTGCTACTTACAATCTAACTTATAGATTGAAATCTCTAACATCTGTGTAAGATACGAAGATGATCTTTCCAATCCTCGTATCCCATTTTGTATTGGACTTACTATCGAGCATCTCTCAACATATACAGCTAATGATGATTGGCAGAAAGAATTTGTCACCAAGAAAGATGTGTCCAACAAATCATTGGAACTCACCAACTTTTCACTTTTCCTCAACAATGAGAAGGATATTTTCTACGATGAAATAATGGGAGATTTTAAAATATCCGATTTGAATGAGTACCTATTAAAAGAGTACAACAAGTCTAAGAAAGATTCCAAAGCTAAGGCAAGCTCAATGTATAAGCAATTCATCAGCAGGGCATTCCAAGCTAACTTGGAGAACTCCTACCTCTTGAAAGACTTCTGAATTGACTTGAGAGTCAAGCTCAACAAGAATCCTAAGAAGAATAAACTTCCACAAGTCTCAGCGGATTTGATCTTTGGAGGAAAGTTCTCAAATTCAGATATGAAGGTAGACTGTACCATACTTGTGCAGCAGGTTAGGTCCCTTCTCAAGTTCCTTGAGTACTCAAGCAGGTACACCAGATACCAGGATGAAGTACTCAAGAATTTCAGGTAAGTTTTGGGTTTAGATCCTTTAGAGACAAGGAACTCACCAAGGCCCAGATTGAAGAATACATTGACCTCTATAGCGCAGTATCCCTTTGCTCACTAAAATTTAGTATAAATCCTTAACCAAGAAGAAGAATAGCGCGGCAGGAAAAATGAAGGTACGACTTAAGCAAGCGGAAGAGGATTACTCATACGAAGTAATTGCTCCAGTGAGACAAATTGCTTTCAACAAATATGTTGTTGAAATGAAAAAGGAAGAAGAGCGAAAGCAAATAGACCAAAAGTAACCCTTTCTATTCATAATTTAGAGTCAAGGATCTTTCTGCAAGCAAGACAGGGGTGATGACCTCAGTCAGAAGCTTCTTTGGGTACTCAAATCAAGCCAAAATTGAAGAAGACAAGAAGCAAATCCTTGAAGTTAAGGAAAAACTCGATAAAGAGTTTATGGACAAGTATGAAATCGAAGAAGAAAAACTTCACCAGGAACTTGATGACTTTTTCAAAAAGAAAAGTATCTTTGATCCTGATCTGATTGATCAGATGCCTCTTGACTGGATTCGGTTTGACTTTGGAATCAAGATCCCTGAGATTCAGATCTTAATAGGCAATAGAAACAAACCTGATAAGTAAGAATCTCTCTGAGAAAAGAGTAATAATCTTTAGTGAAACCGAAAAATTAATTGAATTTGGAATCCAAAGGTAAAGCTATCGTATGATCTGTCATAGGATATTCGTTACAGCCAAGCTTGGAAACATCTTTGAAGACGTCAGCCTGGGTTTTGAGAAAGCTAGTATCCAAGGTAGGTCCCTAAGTTTGTATCAAAACTGCTAAAAGAGCTTTCAAGAAGTAATATTTCCTCTAGAGTTTATTTCTGAAGAGAATACCTACCTCTTTGAGACTGTTTCAGATTCTCATTGAAATGCACTCAAAGTTGATCTCTACCATAACTCTAAGCAAGAGATTCCTGTCAAGTTTACTGCTGAGACGAATGCAGAATTTTTCATCAACGTCAGAATGGAAATAGTCAAAATTATGAATATGTTCAGCGTAATTATACCTATAATTCCTAGGCCCAAAGCGAGAAGATTGATATTTCCTACTATGCTGAATTAGCAAAGGTCAAGTTCCTCGAATACCTGAATAGAGGTATAGATTATGCCGTAAGTAGGAGTTTCACCAGCTTTTTAGGAATCCATTGAAAGCAAAGATTTTGAGATGATTAATATCGACCTAAATGTCAGTCTATGCTCTCCAATGATATTTGTCAGAGATCCTAGACCACATATAGACAGATGGCTGGTACTCAACTGAGGTACCATCATTATGTCGACTAAATTTGAGGAAGAGAAGTCTCTCACCGAAGAAGGAGAAATTGTTAAGAGTAAGTATCCAAAAATAACACTCTAGAACATCCAATTTATGAACTTGGAGTGGTAAATTTCAGCATGTTTCAAGGGATCAACATTGTAGATCCCCATAACTGGAGGAATGCTAAGACGATAGATATTATACAAGATGTGTCCCTCTTAACGAACGTTCAGTTTGCCAAGTTATTCCCAGAGGCTGAAAATCAGACATTATGCTTAAATATTGACATATCCAAGGTGAATATTTACTTCTCAGATTTCTTATTACTCTCAGTTATCGAGATGCTCTTCGGATTTCAAGATATGTACAATAAATACTCGGAAGAAGCTGTACTGGAAGTCCAAGAGGAAGAAAAAATGGAGTATTTTCAAGAAGTCTTTGATAATGCATTCGACGAGAACATGAAATCTTATACACGAAGAAGTACCAAAAGACCACAGTATAAAATCGTAGATGCTAAGAAGGAAGAGCCTGAAATTGATGAGAAAATGATGAAATTCCTCAAACAAATCAACCAAAAGATTACTTTCCAGTTGAAAGGAGCCAATCTATATCTTTGTGAAAGAGATACCAAAACAAATAAGGATATAGAATTGGTCTATTTCCTTGTTGAGACAATCAAGGCTAGTGTAATCTTGTCAAACCAAAATACCAAGCTAAATGTTGGCATAAAAAGACTTATAGTCAGAGATGCTAATCTTGTCAGAGAGAATACAGTTAATACTCAGAATCCTATGCCAGAAGCCTATTCCTTTTTGCTTTCCAATCCTACTCTTGAGAAAGCTATTTTAGAGGGCAAGAATACTGACGAAGATGCTGATTCAGAACTACTTGAGGACATTCAGTCTTATCTGAAACACAAGAACAGTATATTCCAGCTTGTAGTAGCTCTTAAAATAGAGAAAGCTGATACTTATCTTGACTTCTTATTCAACAACTTCAGATTCATAGCTAATGAAAAGACCATTGAGAAGCTGATGAAGTTTGCTTTCCAGATCTTGAAAACCCTTGATACTAGGGACAATCAGCTGGAGAAACTCAAAGAGGAATACCTGAAATATAGTGCAGAAGATAATACCTCTAGTGCAAGCCCACTTAAGGCTGGCTTTGAAGTTGCTGACTTAAAAGAGGAAGAAACAATTTTTGACTACCTCAGAAAAGCTAGAGAGAAATACCTCGTCCGTGAAAAAGGTTTAAGTGTGATCCAACTTGACCGATTCGAAGAAAAGAGAAGAATCTTTGTATCCGGAGCTATTAATAACATTGAAGTTTGGGTCCCTCTTGACTGGCAAGAGAATAAGTCTAAGCTGATGTCGTTTACCTTCTCTTCAAAGCTATCTTATGACGCTACGACACATAAGAATTACTATATCAATAGCTTAACAAGTTTGATCTTTAAGGTTGAGAGTATTTCTCAACAGGAGAATGCGAATATTTCTCTGAGTAACCTGGACATTAAGGTGGAGACATTCGATTGTTCAGAATTTCAGGAATGCAACATCGGTAGCTCTGATATCATTCTTCCTGACAACAACGACATTAGGACACATCTGTTCAGGTGCTATTCAATCCAGCTTAAATATGAATCAATAGACATGATCGCGAAGGATGAAAAGAAATCAGCTGTAATTATCGCCTTACAGCCTGTCAGAGCCAAAGTCGGATTTAAAGAAATCGATGAATTTAAGGTCGTGTTTGATAGAATGATGAAGATCTTGGATAGCCTCACAAGTCAGAATAAGGGCATGGTAGATAGACTAAAAGATGACTATAATGAAGTATTTGAAAAAGTAAGCATAGACCTTACCCCTTTAGACCAATGAATATCAAGAGAAGAAAAGAAAAGAAAGAGGGAATGAAATAGTGAAAAGATTGGTTAAGATTAAGAAAACTGATCTTTTAAAATTGAGTCTTTCTGTTGATAGCTTCAAGGCTGCCTTGATCGATGATACAGGACTCTATCATCAGCTTCTAATAGGCTTTGACGTTGAAAATATCAAGGCTAAAATTTACCTAGAAATCGGTCAAGATTCAGCAGAGAGTTTCATTCTTCGTAGGTTAGAATGCTGAAAGCATCCTTACCTCGACGGAAACTTCTCTTTCAATGTTGAAAGTTTCATTTACAACTTTGAGTCAGGCTCCAGAGAGCCCCTAATCGAACCATGGGAAATGAATATGAGCCTGAGAAAGGCACTTCCTGGAAACTTTGATACTGAAGGATCTGTAGAAATTAGTAAGATTTCTTCGTAACCCCTAGCAACCAATAAGCCCTTAAACATAAACCTGAGTTATGGAGTTACCCATGTGATCAAGAAGACCATGAAGAATATTATGAGGCCTGTCAAACACATTGAGGAGATCAAGACTGATAAGAGACCTCAGGAGAAATTCGGTAAGATATTTTCCATTGAGATATTTTAGATGAAGAAGAAGTCATGGAGTTTATGAACAATCTTGGAGTCCCAATGCAAGTAGCCGTTGAAGGCTTTATGGAAGACCCTAAGAAATTCAGAGGAAGCTTTACTAGTGAAGGTACAATCCCATGATTAGATTTACCTGTTGACCGAGAACCAGCCTCCATGAGTCAGGCTGCACTTAGAGATTCGACCATGAGTTTCTCAAGATATGCTAGAAAAAGTGACCATTCCTTAGACGGCCTCATCTTAAGAATGGATGTAATGGTGTTTGGGATGAAGCTGGTTAAAGAAGTTCCAGTCGATCTTGTCGGAGTCAGATCCTATAATCTTGAATTTGAAGATAAGACAAAAACTAAGCTTAATTTTGGAATGGTTGTGAGAACTCAAAGCTGAGCGAATGGTAAAAAGATGAGAGGTAAAAATATTGTATCAACTTTAGTCTCCTTTGAATCACAAGTATTATTTGCAAATAATTGATATTTCCCTATTGAGCTAACAGCAATCAATGATTCTGGACTTTCAAGAGCTTCAATGGGTAATGAAGATAATATGAGAGTGACAATAAATCCAAACAAGATATTCAGAATTCCTTTGAACTGGATAATTAATAATTTTACTATCATGTATACTCACTATGATGGGCCGAGTACGAAAACAAAGCTATTATCACCCCAATTTGCAAGTTCAATCCTCCAGGGAACACCTGATGACCCAAAACTAACTTTCAATAGCCAGTATTTCTCTTATAGGAAGGATGAGGGGTATGAAACTTTCTTTTCTTTCGATTTACATGCATTCAAGTGTAAGCCTTACCAGTTGGATGTACCTCTACAATTTTTGGCATCCTTCAACCCTCCTGTTTGCTTCAAGAATATGCTGTTCGGAGATGTCTCAATCCACAAAGAAACTTGTGTGAAAGAAATCATGAGACTAAAACCTGAGGATTATGACTATATTTACTGTAAGACTGTGCCGGATGATTTAAGATTCTCCAAAATTCCTCTAGAGGCAGAAAAGTACTCCTTTGTGCTTCATAAGAAGTCGGGTGTCAAGGTAATGACTGAGTACGACTATCTTCATGACCAAACATTTGATATTAAGTTGTACACAAAAGCTCACTTGACAAGAGAGACAAGTACTACATATGACCTGGAATCCATTTCAGTGAAGTTTGAAATAACTTCCTTTGAGGTCAGAGAGAATGAGTATGATTATTTCCAGCTTAGAGAATGAGTCGAGAGCAAGACTTCCTCGATTTCCATGGTTCTATATTCACCATACGTTGTTGTCAACAAGACTGGGCTTAACCTTGTTCTTGGCATGGGCGATAAGAGAAATGACCTAGAAATTTTAGGCAATGAAACTCAATACTTTAACCCAAGAAAAGAGACCAAATTATTTATTAAGGCTGAGGATCACTCTTGGAGTAAAGAATTCTCTATCAAGACTCCAGGAGTGTCTGGAGAGGTCTCACTCAAGGCAAATAAGAGCGTAGCATCTTCACATAAATATATTAGAGAATATAACTCCTCGGAGATTGACTTTGGAGTGAGGATTGCTACTCTTTCTTCAGCATTCTATAAAACCGTTGCTATCACAATAGCACCCAGATTTGTTCTCTGCAACAAATGTAGCGAAAATTTGATTATCATGAATGATGAAAGAGGTAGTAGAGCCCAACACATGCTTAACAAGAACGAAGAGAAAGTAGGTTTCTTCATAATTCTTTAGATTTACTACTTTGAAAATAAATCAAATGGTGAAAATTTGATCAAATTCAGAACACTTTTAGAAGAAGAGAAAGAGAAAAGGGTGTGTACGCTTCCTCAAGTTATTGGCTCCACTCAGTGGAGCCATAGCTTTGGAATCACAGATATTTCTGATTTCCAAGCTGCCTGCGGAGGTACTGAAGAGCACAAGTCCAACAAGTGGTATCTCCCAAGTAGCAGCAACGGCTACAGAAGATATGTCAGAGTAATGATAACTACACAAGATGAAGCGACTATTTTTGTAGTATTCTCAGACCCTGGAACTCCAGATTGCATTATGAAGAACGATACCAACAAAAATATTAGAATCAAACAAAGCAAAATAGGTATCTGGAATGAGCTTGAGCCGAAGCAAGAAATACCCTTCATTTGGGACGATGAAGTAGAAATGAAGACTGATAGTACATTTTTTTATAATAATCTTTAGGAGGAGGAGAACACAAAATCAAAATTGATAAAATAGAAACTGTTAAAGTAAAGAAAGGCAAATGGGAGCAGATAGAGGTAGAAGCTATATCTAGCAAGAAGAACAAGGAAGTCATCATCAGAGATTTAATGGAGGAAAACACTCAGGAAGATACCTTGGCTAAGAATCAATTTGAATATATTATGGAGCAGAAATTAAATTATAGATGAATCAAGCTGTCGCTTGATCTTAAGAGTGTTTGTATATCTATTATCAACTCTCAACCAAAAGAGGTACGCCAAAGAATTTGATTTTATAGATACTATTAATCGCTGTGCATAAGCCTTTTATCAGCTATAACAGGCTTACATCCAATAGCATCTCAGAAACTTATGAAATAGTCGATGTACGTGTAGATCATTTCCAGATTGACAACATGGTCTCTTGGGAGAATCCTGTACTTCTCTGTCCAAAGAAAGTACTTCATTGTAAGGAAGAAGTTAAAGAAGAGAAGAAAGGAAGTGATGGTGAATACACCCCATTTGTCCAACTAAGTAAGGAAATCGTCTAACCTGTAGAAATTGAAAGAGAGATGACTAATAACAACGGAACTATCCATACTAAATTCCCATGCTTGCTTTTCTCTATGCAAGAGATTTTAGTAAAGGTTGAGACTAAATCATTAAATGAGATTATGAAGATCGTCAACAGAATTGTTTCAGTCTTTTCTCTATTCGACACTGAATATAGAAGCTCACTGTATGTATACGAGAAGAACCTTAGGAAGAATACTAGGATAACTCTGAGCGAGGAGGAGAAGAAGGAAATGGGGTATAAGTCTATTGATAAATACTCGCCTCAATTAGAAAACTCTTGTCCATCAATTATTAATGAGCCAATAATTACAGCTGAGAGAAACTACTTTGAGTTTGTGAACATCGGTGCAATGAAGATCATACTTACAGTTCAAATAGAGCACAAGTATATGGATCTGGATTATAGAAGAGAGGGAGGTGGTATCAACTCAGTTGGATATACTCTGATCTCTAACATTGCGAGTATGTCTGATACTCCTCTCTGGTTCAAAGAGCTGATCATCACCCATACCTACACAGCTCCTGAGAACCTTGCGGATATCATTGTGAGGAACTTTATCAGACAAGGAGCTGGTCAATTTTACAAGTTCATCGGTTCTTCTGATATCTTGGGAAATCCAGTGGGATTTGTCAACAAGCTTGGAACAGGAGTTTACGAGTTTATTAATGAGCCCAAGAAAGGACTTGTCAAGGGCCCAACACATTTTGTAGGTGGAGTTGGTAAAGGAGTCAAGTCTCTTGTTGGCGGATTCACTACAGCAAGTCTTGACTCATTCTCTAAGATTACTGGATCTCTCTATAATACAACCAAGGATATTGCTGGCCAAAAAATTGAGAGAGAAAAAGCTCCTGATAATGTAGCTAAGGGTGTCTATAAGGGAGCAAAAGGAGGACTCAAAGAGCTTGGAACAGGTATGGTTTCTTACTGATTATTAGGTGTCGCGGGATTATTTACTCAACCAGTCAAGTATGCTAAGAAAGATGGAGTCGGAGGTTTCTTTGTGGGTATGGGTAAAGGTCTTCTTGGAGCAGCAGCATCTCCGTTCTCAGCAACACTCAAAGCAGCCACAAATGTGAGTCAAGGTTTGAATTCCACTACAAGCAAGCTCATTCATGGTAGAATTGAGAAGCAAGGGAGATATAGACATCCAAGATACATGTAAATTTCTTCACAAATACTTTATAGAAGCCCAACAGGAATCATCCAAGAGTATAATGAGCAGCTTTCTGAGGCAAAGCTGATTCTCGAAAATTTAAGGAAAGGAAGATATAGTGATGAGGCTATCCACTTTATTGCAAAGTTCTATAAATTCACCAAAAAGAGTCAAGAACTAGAGGGTGTATTTATCATCACCAATGATCATATAATCTATTGTAAAGATCTTGAGAAAATCATATTCAAGTGTAAGAGAAAGGATATCACAGAGGTTGAGAAGTACACTGAAGGGATGGATATGAGAACTGGTAACTCAATTCACCACTTGAAAGTTCAAACCAGGAAGAAAAAGAAGAGAGTGTTCACAAGCCATATATATTTAGATACTCATAAAGCAGAACAGATCTTAAAGAGTTAAGAAATTTCATAGCTAAATGCCCATTTTGGCAAAATTATATATTGTCTACTTTGAGTGCATTTCAATGAGAATCTGAAACAGTGGGGTTTTGGGGTTTTGGGGTTTTGGGGTTTTTGGGGTTTTGGGGTTTTGGGGTTTTGGGG